GTATAAGACAATCGCCTGTATAAGACAATCGCCTGTATAAGACAATCGCCTGTATAAGACAATCGCCTGTATAAGACAATCACCTGTATAAGACAATCACCTGTACAAATAGCCGCCTGTATAAGACAATCGCCTGTACAAATAGCCACCTGTATAAGACAATCACCTGTATAAGACACACCTGCATACAAGCAGCCTCTTCCCATTTCTCCCCTTGTATATTGTTTATATTCAAGTGACATCTGTGTAAGATGTCTACCTGTCTAAGACAACATCTGCCCCCCCCCCCCCCCTCCCCTGCATCGGGTGGCCGTCGGAGAGAGGTTCGACTGTACATCCCGTGGTTGACAAACTGTGACCAGACTGTCTCAAAGACTCGAGAATCACAGACAGTTTGAGAGATGTGCACAAAATGAGACTTTGTCTGAATCAGAATGTTTGTGCATAAAATAAGACTTTGTTTATGTCAGAACGTTTGTGTAGTTCGGAACGTTGTCTTGTGAAGGTGGATGATCTGAGATGACAGAGTCTTTGGTCTTGTCTCGTGTCTCTGTGTCGTTCTTCAACTCGCGACCTCAGCGCTTTTTTGTCGTATCTCTATTTTTTTTAAACAGTGAAAATGTAACTTTCTCTTAAGCTCACTCTTTGTTATGAACTGTTTTCACTGTTATTAAAAATGGAGGTACGACAAGAAAGCACTGAGGTCGCGAACTGTTTGACGTAGTTCTCACGTAGAATTGTGAACTGAACACAGTAGAGAGAGTGCACGTTGACAGAACGTTGTGTGAACGTACAGTAGAGAGTGTTTTCATGCAGAGAAAGATAGGAAGAATTTCTTTTTTTTTTGAAAAAAAGAAAGAGGAATTATGTTTTTTCTGTGGTTTCTGAACTCCAAGGTTACAATTCTTTTTCTTTTTTTAACATTGGCGTAAGGATCTCATTATGCCATGACTGATGTTCTCATTTTGGAGTTGATTTTTTCCCGAAAACTGTATGTGTAGATCTAGTGCGTTTTTTTAACTGAATGAGAACTTTCATTTTGTTCCATTGTATTCTGAAGTGAGTAGGAGGAGAAATTATTCCTGCAGCACAATTTTCTTTTCTGAGAAAGATAGCAGTTTGATTTTGTCAAAGTTCCAATTTGTTTGACCTCATCTGTTACTCTTTTCAAATGGACAAACGCAGCGCTGATGTTTGCGATATCTTGGTCAAACTCTTCACTGTTGTACGCAGTGGAGGTGAGTTCAGATCCCGAGTGGGGAGGGAGTTTTTGGGGTTAGGTTTTTTTAGAAAAAGTACGTACTGTGGAAGTTACCAGGTCAACTGAGGAGTTGCGCTACTTTTTCACTGAGAAGAAATTTGAGCAGGAGCTAGAACTGTTGGTTCATGGGGAATGTTTTGGAATTCTGGGCATGTAATAGTGAATGTTAGGTACTTTCTGTTTTCTGTAGTCTGCCCCAGGTCATTTCCACAAGTTGTGTATGATGTCACAGGAAGTAATTATAATGCGGTGGAAAATTCTTGGCACAACTTATCCTCAAATATCTCTTTGGCAGGTGAATCAAGTCTCCCATACTTTGCACAGCAGTTTGTATCAATTTGTCTTAACTTAGTCATATTTTTTCCACGACAATTAAGGCCAGATTTAAACATTTTTCTTCATAGATTTATATAAAATGCTATAAATCTCCATCACGCGGAAAATGGAATTGTTCACAGCACTTCCCGCTTCTCACACACATTTTGCATACGAATATATGGCCTACGTCACAGCTTACCAATGACACTTTTTAGTGGCAAAACTTGTTATAAGATTCTCAAAACATACGTTCAGTTATAAGCATAAAGTCGCAATTAGAAAACAATGATGGACTTGCTTCAATTTTAAAAGCGATATTGCCCCAGCTGTAAACTTTTAAAAAGCTGTAGACTATCAACTCGGATTTTTTATTAGTATTTATTAAGGAATTTTCTAGAATACAGCAAACGGATGTTTGAAAAAATATTCATCACTTAATACAAATTGCTATAAGTCATTGTGCAAAAGCTGGAGAGTCTGTGTCCAATAGATAAGAAGATATCTGACAATAAGTTACGCCTGGAATTTGTTACCATGCTCTATGACATCCCAACGGCACCTCTAAGAACGTGTCAAAGAAGCGCGGGTTTTGTGTCGGTGCAAAGTTCAGGACCTGAGACAGTGTGTCTCCACAGCTGACTGGTGCTGGGGGAGTCCATCTGGTATCCTGAGAGTGTTTTATGGTGGGATGAGATGGATGGGGGGGGGGTTAGTTTTAGTAAGGTTTTACGGCTCTCGCAACTCATATAAGCCCCCAGGGGGTGGATGCCAACAGAGAAGTCCAAAC